CGAAATTTCGTGCATTAGTCCGCAAGGGAAACTAGTTGAATTTCGTTACGTATACGTTTACATTTGTATTTAACATTGTTTATAAACAATTAACAATGATAGCCTGACTTGAAAATTATAGCTCACATTCAGTACATTTTAATATGTTTCCAATAGTGCTATTTACACATTATCAGTGACAGAGAATCAGAATGTTAGGCTAACATTCATTTACATACAAAGAGAGCAGTAACAAAAAGTGTAGAAAAAGTCCATTAAATTATAGTGAAAGTCAAGAGGTTCGAGCATTATAATAGATGTACTACGAATTTGATGGAAATTAATGTATGTAATATAGTGTGACAAAGGCTTTTTTATAATTAAAAATAGATTCAATCGTTTATCCAACTTAATAAGCTATTTTTTTTTCATTTTTTTTTTTTTTTTTTTTTTTTTTTTTTTTTTTTTTTTTTTTTTTTTGTCAAGTCATAATCGTAATAAATCCAAGGAAATAATTAAAATCAACCCTCTCTGCAGATGAGTTTTTTTACTTGTTTCACTCGCTCATAATTTCATTGGAATATATTTAACAAAAAGTATATAGAGAATATTCTTTCAGCTGGTATACGATCAAAACTATAATTAATGGCAATTTGCACCTCATTCAAAGGTTACATGTTTCATAGAAATTAATCATCACTCTTAAGTTTTCGCTCATATAAACGAAAAACTAATCTCTCTCTCTCTCTCTCTCTCATTCTCTCTCTCTCTCTCTCTCTCTCTCTCTCTCACTCTCTCACGATAAATCTTTATTAAAACTAAGAGCAGTTGAAGACGGCGAAAATCTGTGGTTCGGAGAAATCTAGTTCGCGGTTGAGTCTCGGCAGATCTGAAAATATATATCTCTTCAATTCAAAGCACATTACTTCACAGCGGGTCAGGCTCACAAATACGTCTTTAAAAGGGTACATGCACGTGTGCATTAACACACGAAGCAACTCACGAATTCTCTCTCACTCGTATTCTCAATTTTTCAGGCCTCGACTAGATTCGACAACGCCTGCAACGGAGGTATGTGTAGTAGGTGTGCTTCTTGCTCGGCGTTACCTTTGCACTCGAGTGTCGTCCTCGTTTCCAATCTCTCTCTCTCTCTCTCTCTCTCTCTCTCTCTCTCTCTCTCTCGTCCTCTTACTGTTGGTGGCGATTCTCATAATTCTTCGCTAGAAGTATACACGCGCGTAGTATCGCGAGTCGAATGTATGTTGCCGTTAACGGCGGCGGGGCGGGAGGAGGAGTATATTCGCGAGCTTTTTACGCTTTCCTCCATCTCGTTTCGACAGCATTTTTTTTTTTTTTTGCTCGGGCATTGGGCAATTCGCGTGCACACATGTAGGTGAATTTGCATTATGCGGGCGGCTCCTTTATTCCATTCTTAAATACTAGGAGACAGTTGATTTGATAATTCACCGAGACAATCATTTTAAATGGTATATTGAAAGGTTGAGGATGGTTAACAACAAAATACACTTATAAAACAAATAGTTTATTTCAATGATAGGAAAATATTTGGAGCATAATTATGAATGAATTGTCATTCTTGATAACAATGAATTTTACTAATATACAGTTTGTATAAGCTTTATTCATACAACTGTATATAAATAATCTTTCTATGTTTGTGAAAAATGAGCTTCGTTTTAATGTCAATAATGTATACTATCAAATAGGATAGACATGAAATAATAAATAAGAACGGACTTAAAGAATCCTTAGTTTTTCAATTAAATAATCAATGTTAGTTAAATGTAATCGATATGAGTATTAATTCTGAAAAAATGTTTATGGGCGAAACAATTAGAAATGGTGAAAGTAATGGAATTGATTTAAAAATATGATGTTGCGCGAATATTAAAAGTACGCATACATCAAATGTTTACTTTATACATTATAATGTAATTGGCTGGGGATAAAAGTTATTTCATAATTTGGCACAATTTGCATTAATTTTCGAAAATTTTAAAACTTTAATTTACAATGAATTGTCTTTGATATAAGCAGTTTTCTCTGATAGCTACGTTAATTATAAACATAAACGTTTCGTAGTAAACTATAAAGAGATTTCTTGCATTCTGAAATTTTAAAGAAAATGCTTTTAGCATTAGGCTGTTCTTAAATATTTCTTAACGTTTGAAAATAATTTTTGTTGGTAATATATCTTGTAATCCTTTTCAAATAAAAAATAATTATATAAAATCTAATAATAAATTCGTTAAATTTTATTAGATTTACTATTAATTTATTCATCATTATCAATACTTTAAGTCATAATTAATGATCTAATATAAGTAAATCAAATGGGAATAGTAATATTGAGAATATATTCAAAGGTTGAAAATATTCTGACTAGAAAATGCATAATAACATTAATGATGAATATTCTTCTAAAGATCTAATCTAAGGTTTCAATAAGAAAAATTTTATTCAGAATCAAGTTTTTATCTATGATGTAATAAATAAATATCGATTGGTTTAAATTTTATTAATAAATGTAAGATATTTATTATATTACACTCTTATGCGACCAACTATAAAATATAATTATACACAAGTTGGTAAAATGCTTTATAATTTGTTTTCTAGAATAAGGACGGTAGAAATTATTATGTTATTAAATTTTATAATTCCAAGTTTTAACATAAAGAATTTTAATTAATTTATTATTATTAATATAATGTATTTTTGAAGCTTCCAATTTAATAATTACAAAATTACAGGCATTATAAAATAAATATATTTCAGGATAGCAGAAGCTCGAATGCCATTTGTATAAAATGAAATTTCATTCGAAAATGTTCGATTGGCGGCAGGGAGGCAGAGGGGATGAGAGGATGACAGTCCTGTAACTTATTATTATACATCAAGTGATGGATAATTTAATTATGAAAAGAACATTGATAAAGTTTTCGAAATAATTCTACGTTTTTATAGCGATACACGAGCACTCGCATAAAAATTATTTCAAAACAAATGCATTCATTAGAATTTCGTTTATTAATGGTTACAAATTTTTTTATAGAAATTTTAGATGTAAAAGGACCTTTTTTTTTTATTCTCAATATTACTTTTCTATTATTTCATGTTAATACGAACATGTGCTAAGGATTGACATGTTCTATTGGAAGCTTTGCATTAGAAATTACGCAATTGCTAATAATAATTTCCATAAAGTACAATAATAAGACGTTACATCCATCTTCGGAAAAACAATTTTTTTTTTTTTTTTTTTTTTATTAATACACTCTATCTGATTTGTCAATGACGCGGAAAAATGTGAAAACGTATTTTTATCTAAACGCATATTTTATATAGAAATATTAGTGTCTTAATTTGTTTTTAATCCTCAACTCCTACCATTACAGTATCATATTTAAATACAATACAATACAGGCATTCTCGTAAGCCAGATTTACCGCAACATTTAACATTATTTAATGAGATTAAATAATAATATTACTTTTGTAGAAAATCGTTTTTAGTAATTTATATAGTGATTGATAGCGATTTTTTGAAATTTAAAAGATATCTGTGCTTATGTCGATAAACACAAATCATTTGAAAGCGAAGCAAAACTAGATACGAGTGCTCGCCAGTTTGTTGCAATGCAATAGAAAAATAGATAAGTACTCGTGTGCACGTTCTCTAACATTACATACATTTTATTTTTATTCGCAAGTATTGTTAGTTTTATTTGTACATCGATATTCTGCTCATTCAATTTATCTAGCTAACTTCATTCGGATCTTTGGTCATTTTTTTCCTTTAACCCTTGGCAAAACATTTGAAATGCTTTTATTAAATACTATTATATCTAATCGATAACTTATAAATATCGAGGCCCCCGCCCCCACACCCACCCATCCTACCAATGAATCTATGTATCTGCGATAATAAATTGCCGTTTTCTCAGCATAGCAATATTCTTCTCAACGTAACAAATCTAATATTGAAGTATAAATGTCAAAGGATGACATTTATGAAGCTTCATGTGATAATCACAATTACGAAAAGAATTAAAATTTACTCGTTGAAGTTATTAGTCTAGCAGATGAGGACTTTAAATATTGCGAAACTTGAAGAGATATTCTACATACCGTAGAACATTGCCGTTCTCTTTCATTCCTATTTGATATATTATACTTGAAATAGACGATAAATCGTAAATCGAATTTCTAGACTATTTTCTAAGCTATTTTCAAAAGGTCGCTAAAGTACCCTACGTTCCAACGTAGCACGAGACGCAAAATTGTACTCGAGGGAGAACTTTGTCACATTATCTCTTATATATAATCGACTGAAATCGAAAATCTCAGGAGCTTGCTTATTAGCAAGAATAACTAGTCGGGGAGACGCGATCGTTCCAATTTCTCGATCGCAGCAATATCTTAGCCCTCGTTGAGCAATTTTATGTAACTAGCATCCCATAAAGGCCGCGCGTCTAAGGCCTCGCTGTCTTCTCCTTTGTCAGCGCACACCACAGCGCATTAAAGCGCATATTCGCGCACGGCGAGCTGCTCCTCCTGATCTTCTCTCCCCCGCGAAAGAGACAGCGAGAGAGACAGCAAGCGCGCGTGTTTGCGCGACCGTGCGTTCGCGTCTGCCGCAGACATAGACATAGATCGAGAGACTGAGAGAGACTGAAGAGAGACCGAGAGAGGGTGGGAGGGAGCGAGAGACGGCGGTGGTGCAACGCGGGGGTGGGGAGGGGAGGGGCTGATGGGGGGGGGGCGGGGG